TATAAAAAAAAGTTCATAATCATCATTAGTTGTGCATTTAAAAATTCAAACTTAACGAGTATTAATCTGAATGTAGCATAAATCCAATATCAGTCCTAACATTATAATAGTTATATTATAAATTAATTTTTTCTAATTAATTAAAATTTTGACTTCTATGATTATCGTGTCTAAATGAGTTGATTCATTATATGCATATCTCCACTCTATTTTTTCTCCATTCATTCCACTTTCTTAAATCTCTTATTATTTTTTTCTCCCTCTCATTTCATTATTTATTCTTTTTAATTTAATCTTATATTCTATCAATGTCACAACCCAAAATGAGTCGTCAGTGGACCAACACTTAACCTCCTAAGTAGCGAACCAAGGAATCTAAACCCTAACATACGTCAATACTTCAACTACGAATAACATTAAAAATGTGAAAGTTCAAATTTTTTTAAAGTAACTCATCAAATCGACCTCTAAAGTCTATTACACATTATTCCCAAATCTTAAAGACATCACATCAAGGGCATCACATCAAATCGACCTCTAAAGTCTTATGTGCTGGATATTGTCTAGAGCTGAGGGAGAATCAAAGTCGAGGGTACACTTGCTGCAGTCCAAAAAAGAACAACAAAGAAAATACAAGTAGGGATCAGTACAAGGAACATGTACTGAGTAGGTATCATTAGCCAACCTAAAATAGAACCCAATATATATTTAATAATAATAATATTATAAAATCAACTACAATAATTGGCAAGTAATAGGAACAATCAACATAAACCAGGGACAAATACACCATAGTAGGTACATAATCAATCACAATATCAAGCACACCTATAAAGACTCATGCCTCCACATCATACTCATTTGCAAAATGGGTTCTTTGAGATTGAGTATATTAAGTTAATTCAAGATTCTTTTCCTTTAATGTTATCATGTTAGAACGTGACACTCCGATCCCATATATCTAGTGTTGAAACATGACATTTCGATCTCATAATACCCTGTCAGAACGTGATACTCTGATCCAATAATATTATGTCAGAACGTGATACTCTGATTCAATCATGTCATTAATTTATTTCATTAAACCTTCTTTATTCAAGGCGTCATTTCAATAGAGAGGGTTCAAGATTATAAACATATGTGTCTCAGAATTTTAGGCCAACCACAAACCACAAAACCAAAATATACAACCAGACAATCAAGTACATAGGAAACTTCACAATATAACTCAATACATATCAATCGCTATTGAGAGTCCATCTATCAAATAGAAATAACAATAACCTACCTCCACCAAAGAATTGAATTCAAACAAAGTACTTCTCCAATACTTTTCCTTTCTTCAATGGTTCCAAAACTTTCTAATCTATCAAGTATATATGTACAATTTGTACGTTAACGAGTCTATAAATATTGATATCTTGTTGTGTCCTATCCTAGACCCAAAAATTGATCTAATTCTATGGTCAATTTTCTAAACTTCAAACCTAAGGGTAAGTCTTAATCCTCATCAACATAACTTTAATGTAATTCATATAATATAGTACATCTTATATTTAATTACCTTTCTTAATATGTCAAATTTTAATTTATAATATCGTAAACTGAAACCACTGATCACCATACCAATGACAGTCCACACATGAAACCCATTCCAAAAGATGAACGTAACAGTAACTATTCAATTTTATACAATTTTCACCTGCAATCCACTCTTTAACTCAATAAACAAAAATTTGTTTAAGCCAACAACCAGCAACTAACCGTTAGCCCTCATTAATTATTTTCTCCACTAACTGTAACATCATATGCACATATATACATTTAGGACCAATATCATTGACCCTTGATAATTCTCATTATTATCCTAAAGTTGATCACTTGGAATATTTGTTTTTAATGACAGTCAGGCCAGGTAGACTAAACAATAAAAATTTCTATCGAAGTTTTCTAACCCATTATTCAACAGGCGACAATAATCAACACCCACAATTTTCCTTACGGTTCAACCACAATTCATCTCTATATTACTACACTTGCAGTATATAATTCTCTTACATCACCACTCCGATTCTAATCATAATTAAACTACACACATATAATACATATAGAGAAAAAATTGAAGAGAACTATCACCTGACGGTCGTTCTTAAAATTGGTTTTCCCCCAAATTGTGCGGCTCCGTTTTTTTCTTCTTATAATTTTACTACTTGTCAAAAGATGTGTTATCACCCTAATTATCTTATAATCAATTTTAAAAAGCGGTAAAAGTGATTCACTATTTATTTTACTGTTATTTTCTTTAACGACCAACTAAATAATTATTAAGATTACCCCACTAATTTCATAACTATAATCACGAATAGTCCAAAATACCCATTTGGAATCTATCAAAAACTCTTTTGTGAAATAAAAAAGTTGTAGAACTCAAAACAACGAAAAAGGAATCATTACAATCAAAATATATCTCTTTTATTTGTTTATGTAATTGTTTTTTTATTGAATATGATATATACCAATTTCAGTTCAAAATATGTGATATATATTATATGTATACTGACATAATGTATTTAAAATAAATGAATATTGTATGTACTAATATATAATAATATGTTTATGTACAATTTCATTACATATAAATTGAAAAGAATATGTTTAGAGTGATATGTTTTAATATCTATGGCAGTGTAATTATACTATATCATCATTATATCATATCATATCGTATTAAAACGGGAAAACCCAAACACGAAAAGTTGAATTACCAAATTACCTATCAACTATTGAAAAACTATTTATCCTTTGAAAACATAAAAAGTTAAGGTGTCAACTCTAATATTCGCATCCCATTTCATTTTTCCATTTTCCACGATAACTTCCATGATTTATATCATAAATCCAATTGTCTTTATTAAAAATATAATTGTTTGTTGAAGTCGTGTATTACAAACCAAGGAGATATATATATATATATATATATATATATATATATATATATATATATATGGAAATGTAATAACAATGGCAATGGCAATTATGCATGTGTCGGTGCAAGGTTAAGTTACAAGGATATAAATTTAGAGTGTTCTCTAATCAAAAAGTTCTTTTATGTATGAGGCATATATATGACATGATAGAAAAAACTTGTATGAGACTCTACATATAGTTTGTCAAGAAGGTAGTTGGGCTCTATTTCATAAAATGGCCCAAACTATCATTTCTGTCTCTTCCCTTATACAATTTTTTCTCTATTTCTTACCTTTTACTTGTTTTTTCTTTGATTTCTTTCTAACCATTTTTCTAATTGCACTTCTATTAGTTAATAGTTTCTGATTTCGTTTTTAACATTGTCATATTATTTTTATATTTTTATATTGATTATTTAAATTGCATAAAATATTTTGAATGGAATTTTGATATTTGCTCCTCTTTAGATAAGCAATAAAAGATATATCTGACGTCGCTTTTTATGGAGTTATAAGATATTGGAATATTTACTTAAGAATCATAACGATTATACACTTTAACTAAAAAGAGTTCTAATGGGTAATTTTTTCCACCATATACAACTTTTATTAGTTTGATAAAATGTAATATGCAGTAATTTTTATATACAACTACTTGAATAGACAATGCATTTTTCATTTTTTATCATGCAATTCTTCAAAGTTTCTAGTATTTTAATGTGGTTAAATTGTTTTGTATTCTAATAAAAGTGAAAGTACAATAGTAAGGAACACAATACAAGGAAATTTACTTGAAATATGAAATTATAAGCCTAGAATTGGGTTGAGAAGATAGAAGAAGAGGATGAGAATATTCTGAATCATAATTAACTTTCTCCCCTTTATCTACCCACATTCTCTCACTTTTATAAAACTTACATGACAACCTCTAGCTTTGCGCACGTGGCTTTTATCCAGCCCAAAAAGTAATAGTCTAGCCTTTTAGGTGGAATTATACTTCTAGTACTCCTATGTGGCTTGTAAATGCAAAAATCTCTAGTCGCATTGTCCTTATAATTCAGTAGTCGCATTGTGTTTTTATGGATTTAAATAGACTCCTAGACAGTGGAACTTGAAGCTTAAAGCGACTGTACTTGATATGGAGTTTGTTGAATGTCATTATGACTACTCTTTGTTCAACTACTCCCCGTCCTATTTCTTATGAGGTAGTTTGAAAATTTTTATCATGCATGAAATACGCCAAGTCATACTTGTATAAGATATCATGAATAAGTTAATTTAATTTATTTACCATCCTCCACATGTGAGGATGGTGTTTCCTTTACTTTTCCCGATAAAGTTGTTGGGTGTCACCGATTTGAATATAACACTCTCACCTGTAACACTCTGAAAGTCCATGACTTGGTCTAGATTCTCACATGATGAAATAAGCTATAAAACATTGTTTATAAGATCACAATAATGTATTGAAACTAATAAGGTATATCATTAGAGTCAAAACGTCAAGGGACAACCATGACGTCCCGAAACTAGTGCAATTGAACTAGTAAGCATCCTTAGGTCTTGAGAAGGTTTGGAAGTGTTGTATTGAGTATAAAACATATAATTAATGTTAATTAGGTAAAATTATGCATATAGGGTGAAAAAGTCAAGGTCCGACCCCCTAAGGACCGCCTTAGGGGTCCTTAAACCCCACCCTTTGCCAAATAAGTTGCCAAAGGCAGCAATAAATTGTATTACCAAGAAACCAGTCCGCATTGTGAACATGGCTCACCATGGACCAAAAATATTGGTCCACATTGCACATACATAGCGAACTCTACTGTCTCAAAAATTTATTTCAGAAATCTTGCAGGAACAGCTCCTCGACGTGGACTTGCTCCTAATGAAAAATCTAAAATTAGAATTCAAGTTTGACTTTTCACTAAAAAATTAACTTAAGTGAGGGGTCATTTTGGTAATTTACGGGAGGGTTATTCATTGATTTAAAATCAGTTTTACCTCACATTAAATTAATCAAATCAAATCCCCAAATCAAAATTCAAAATCTCTCACCTCTCTCTACTTTCTCTTTCTATTCAACCTCCATTGAAGGAATCAAGAAGCTTGAAGAATAAGACCTAATCCCTCAAGTTTTCTTCTCAAATTATGAATAAAGTCTTCATAAGGCATGGACTCTTTCGTTCTTGGGAGTCCTTTCCCAAGAGGTACATTCAAAGTTGATTTCTAAATTACCCAATTCCAAGGGTTTTGCTCTACGAATGAGTTTTCTTCTATACTTGAAATTGATGATTAATTATGATTAATTGGGATTACCTATGGCTAATTAAGTTATATTGTTTAATAGTTGATGTTTATTAATATGATTTTCGTGTATTTCGTGTCATTTCCCCAATTTCCTCAAATCTTGGATCTTGCTTATGAATTGATGGGAATTGATTAATTTTTTGATTGTTAGATTAGTTTTAAATATTCTATTTTGTTTATGGACTGTCTAAGGTCATATATTTTTGGGATTGTATCTATTTCTTGAAGAATTCATGGATGAACCTTTTTCCTTAACCCTACCTATAAATAGGGTTGTTGGAATTGATTAAGTTATTGTTTAATTCAATATATTATGATTATGTTGAGTGGATCGTTGGTTAATTGTGATGAATTGAGGGTATGATCTTGAAGAAGGTTTTTGAGGCTTATTGGTAAGACCTTTATGATCTTGAGTTCTTTACTTCAATGATGATGGTTTACACTTATTTATGATGTTCAATTGAACTATTTTATGTGATTATATAAATAATATGATGATATGATGATTATGATGAAATGTCTTGACATGTGAATCGTGAGATCATGTTAAGGTTATGACAATACAATGTTGAATGTGAATCACTTGTGTGTCTTACTATGATATGATTATGATGTGTTTATCTAAAAAAATGAAGGGGTTAATATCCTATGTCCTATATTAATCTATGATGATTAAGAATTAGAGACATTTCAAAAACTAGCTTAACACCGAGTGAACTTGACAGTGAGAGGTGGTGAGTCCACATAGAAGGGAGATTCACCAAATGTTCTCATCAAATGAGGACTCCAATTGATAATGATCATGTAAAGGGTTCAAGACATATTTCCTAGTTCCTTAACTATGTTGCCTCCATAGGAATACTAGCTAGTGGATCAACCTAAAATTCTATGTTCATGTTTTGGTCCTACCTTGGCAAGTAGACCACCTTCTTTCGGTGTAGGGTTAGATGACATTGGATTCTATGTTTAGATCACGTGGTCTATTATCGATTTAGATGATTTTTCCCTAAAGTAAAATGAAATTATTGAAGTGAATAGTAACTAGGGTGACTTGAGGGATTATACTTAGTGTAGGTAGGGGTATGGGATTCTACTTATACATTGCATAAATTGGACTTGAGGGAGGTCTTAGAAGGTTGCTCTTATCTACTTATGATATCAATGAATTACATATATGACTTTATATGTTAATGATCCTATATGATATTAGTTTCATTGATAATATTCTATTAGTCTAAATTGACATATATGATGCATAATATGCATAATATGGAGGTATATGAATTGTTGACAGTGCTTATGATCCTTTGTTTGGTTTACTTGATTATGTAGGGTTATGAGATTTCATATAAGCGTTGCACCTGTAGGCTTGGGAAGGTGTTGTGAGTAAGGGTCTTATATGCTCTTGTACATGAATTGTTGCTAGGACACTATGTTGGAGTTGTTAGGCTTATATGATCTTAATGTGATCACATGCATATTGATATGACCTTATGTTGATAATGTCCATGTTGACTTAACTTTTTTATGGTATTGGTCTTGTGTTCGCTATGGACTTATCTTTAGTAATGTTATGTGTATTGGCCTATATATGTTCTTAATTGTGCATAAAAGCTTTTGGAAAGTGACTTAGAATGGTTTTGAAAAAAAATGCCCTTTTAAGCATGATTTCAAATGGTTTATGTTCATATATCCATACTTATTACAAGTGGTTGTACTAACCCATATTCTTTATGATTCTACACATATGTAGGTTTGGGTCGTTGCAGTCTCAAGGTTGTTTTGCAAGAAGACATGGACTTCTCCTCAAGTTTTGGTAGGTCCTCTAGTCCTAGGAAGGTGCCACGTGTTCTACCTTAGTAGAATCGATATTGTCTGAATACATTTATATCTTTCCTATTCTTGAAGACATTTGTTTCATCCTCTACTTATGGGAATGCTACTTCGAGAAATGTTGTTCCAGGATAAACTAGATATGTTGCGAGAGAAATTGGATATTTTCCTATGGCTTGGACCCTTTCACTATGCCTTATGTGGAAAATATGAATTTGTATAAGGGCTAGGACCGAATGTCCTACTTCTCTTTAGATGGATTAATGTGAGACAATTTTATTATACTAAATTCTTACTTATTGGTTATTTTGACTAAACGAGAAGCCTACGCAAGCTCGTATGTGAGGAGTCTAACTAAACTCCATATATAATATGTGAGAGGTTTACGTATACCTCAATATATAAAAATTATTAATTTTTCCGCAATTAGACCTATGATATGTTATGACGAATGCTAAGGGCTACTCTAAGTCCTCTCCGAGTGCGACCACGTTGGTTACATCTAGGGGTGCTCCCCGGCTGTGACATCATCGATTTGGATATAACACTACTATCTTTTTTGGAAATTAAAGTTTTTTCTTACCATAAAGTAATCGATGCTCCATATATGATACTCTGAAGGTCTATTGGATTGATCGGATTTATCGATTCTTAGATGACATGATGTAACTAGTTGATCAAATCATTTTGAAAGACGTGGTTTTCTCTGCCATAAAATATAGGCACGAAGAACATAATAAAGTTGACAAATAAATAAAGATGATTTCATCTTTTTACACCTTCACATCAATGGAATAATCATCAAACTTCTGTTTGATCTTGTTTTGTGGTGTAATTGATACTCCATTGGAAGTTGGGAGTAGAAAGAGTTGTTTGAGTTTGAGATCTGAGGTGTTTAGGAAAGTGATACATATGTTGTAGAGTCTCCAATTAGGGAGTCAACAACTCTATTTTGTAAAACTAGTGAAATGTCGACATCATTTCCCCCACCCCTCCCTTAGTTTCCGATTAAGTCTCCCCTACTATCCCTAGTATTTTTTCCTCCCTCTAACTTTATGCATGCAAAATCAAGTGAAAAATCCTTCCCTTAATGATTTGTGTACAAAGTACAATAACTATATTCTAATGTAAAAAGTAAGAAAAAGGAAAAAACTTTATAAGGGAAGAGAGAGAAATGATAGTTTGGGCCATTTTCTTAAATGGAACCCAATTTACGCACTTGACAAAGTAAAACATGAGTATGATACAAGTGTTTTCTACCACGTCTTCTATATGCCTCATACAAAGCAAAATATTCTGAGGTATTTTTATTCTATACGAAGTTTAAGAAAGAAAGTAAGATTTTAAAATCATGTGGTCCAAACAAATGATATAAATTTGTGTGACTATAGCTAATTTCATTAAAGGTAAAATAAACATTGTATAGTTAATTTGTTACTTAATATAGAAATGTGTCGTTCTTATTAGGATTAACAAAAATGGAAAGTAAGTCAGATAAATTGGAACAAGAACAGAGGGAATATAAAATTGATAGAGATTCCATTGTCATCCTAGTATATGTAGTTTTTGCTTAAAGAAGATTCTTTAAGGATTGGTTCAAACTCAACACATGGTCACTACGAACAACAAGTTGATCCATTCACGAAGGATCTATTCAAGACTCAACATATTTTTTTGGTTGATAAGCTACAATAAAAGTTCATTTCTTTCTTTAATATGAAGATAAAGTCACCGTCCATGTGACTTAGAATAATTGTAACCATTAGTTTCCTATAATTTTTGAAGCATTTTTTTAGAATGATAATTTTAGTATTTTGCATTTCTTTAAGGGTTTAGAAATTTAGTCAAACCAAACAAACTGATTCCGGATAGATTGCCGAAAAAGAAGAGGTAGTATCATTCAAAATTGCTTTTGATATATAAAGCCACAGAAAAAGGCTACTGGGTTTATTATTCTATGATTTTAAATAACGAAGTCTTATTGTGTAGTTTTAATTATCGAACAAAGAGGGTAGTTGGATTGGCTTAAACTACTCGACTCATAGGGTCCAAGTGAAATTATGGGCATGCCCAATAAACTCAAGGATCTCCACGTATGATATATGGTAATCCATAATTATGAAATAAATATAGTTTCAAAAAGGGTTAGGAACTTAATACTCAAGAACTTAGAACTAAAAGATACTACTCCTCTCTAAGATGCTTAGTTTATGGAGTTCATGCTGAGTTATGGACATGAGCAACTCAAGGGATAAATGAAAATATAGAACTAATGGGTACAACTCTTCTCCATCCCATACTTGATAAAACTTAGCTCAAATCGATAGTTAATCTCAAAGGAGTCAGAATTTAACTCAAGGACTTTCTTGAACTCTACTCTTCACTCCTTGAATTAGAATTATGAATTCAAGAGTTATAATTTTGATAGGCGTGATATCTCAAGGTTAAAATGAATGTTTTATTTGTGAATATAAAGTATTAAACATAGGTACAATTTGAGGGAACTCTTGCGGAAAGAAGGGCAGAGGTGTAGAGACCTCGAAAATCATGCGCAGTGAGTGGTGCAGGGCGATAAACCATACCATACACACCACTGGTTAGGGCGCACTGAGTGGCGGGATTCCCCCATCCTATACCTATAAAAGCGATGAACTTTCTCTCTCAAATTCATGCAACTCTTTTGGATCCTTAAAACCAACATAATTTCAGAAAATGCTACACCAAAACCCACCAAAAATAACACTCATTCACAACTCTCACCTCAAGAACTCAAAAAGAATTTCATTATCAAAAAGTGAAGTTTAAAACCTCAAGAACTCAACAATATTATTAATATAATCAATCTCATAGATCTAATTAATAAAATAAACTCATGATTGACTTATGAGAAAACAAGACAAAAACTATGGAAGCTTACATACCTTAAAAAACTAGGTTCTTAGTTAAATCTTGAATTTCTCAAAGCTACTTGAGAAACATAGAAGGACATGCAAGACAAGTATCCCTAATTATTTGTTGATTCAAGTACTACTCATTTACTTCCTTGGCCTATTTTTCCTAAAATTTTCACTTGGAGAAGAGTGCTGGGTAATTTGGTATCTAGTGTAACCACTGGATTGCGTCGTTATATAAAAGGTGACATAGAAAAATTTATGGGCGAAAAACTTTTTTTGTAGTCACTTGGAATTATGCAACCTAGCCCAAATTTGGACGAAATATGAGTCATTAAATTCTAGGGTAATATGGTAGTAATTGGGATTCTAATTATGATATGACCACAATATTAGATAGATAATTCATTAAGAAACTGTTATGACTTTATGGAATCAAACTCAGGCGAGTAGAACTCTCGGAATCTATCTTGGTGTGAACGAGTAGTTTCTGAGATTTGTTGATTGAAGGTGGTTGTGAAATGAGGGCATTGGAATTGTTAAGATATCTCACTATCTCCGTGCAAGCCCATGAGTTGGGATTTCAACCACCAGGGGGGCGCTGCTCTAGCAAGGTGGGTGTTGTCGTGGTGTGGCAGACGTGACTTATAATCAGAAATAAACCCCGAAAAATATTTTATTTTGCAATTTCAAACTTGAGATATAAGGAACGAACCTAGTGGTTTTCATGGTAGATTATCATCATTCTTGAGGCTAAATGTAATAATTTCCACATCCATATTTTTCCATGAAACGTAATCTAATGGGTAATTATCGATAAGGAAGATTTTTTATCTGGAATTAATAATGGTGATGAATGTCCTAATCTTCGCATGAGGATCATAGGTATGATATCGCGTTGATAGAATTTTTAATAATTTTGATTATTAATTATTGAGTATCATGTGATGAATGTTTGTTCTTACTTTAGTACGATACATCATATGTATGTGGATGTTGCATTATTGATCATACTTGTTGTAAATGAGATAGATAAATGATGAAATCCATGAATCATAATGTAACACCCCGTATCTTAAATAAACCAGAAATCAGCTTTTTAGAAATCTGCACGTGCAATCGATGGTTATTATCGGCGTAGTAGCCTGACCCATGGCCCGTCAGTCCAGGTCATCATTTGGTCCGTTAGCAATTAACTCAAGTGTCTTTTGGTATTTTCCCACTTGGTTTAAACCCTAAGATACGTCATTTTTACCCTAAATCATAATATTTTAGTCAGTTTAAGCCTAGAAACATAACTAAAACTCACCTAAGTCAAATCATTAAGAAAAAAACTTAAAAAATTAGAAGCAAGAAAGAAGAAAGAGGTCAAGAACCTTAATTAAAGAACGCAACAAGGTTTCATCAGTTCCAGCTCCGAAATCCAAAAATTTCTCCATGTATGTCATCACCATGTATGGTGGATTTCAATAGTAGGTTCCTTTCACCCATTGGATCCCTAGTTTTCAGTCAGATTCCTGATTCACATATCATGATTAGACCTAAGGTTTATAGAACTTTAACAGAACTTCATGAATTAATTATTATATGTTCCAAATAAGATTTCCATGTTCTTATTCAGTTTACCGCTGATTTTCAGAACCCTAACTATTTATATCTTTAGTTCTTGAATTACACAAGCTAGGTTATATATTTCAGTTACTTCAGATATACATGTCTCAGTTATAAATAATTAATTACTAGATTAATTGTTGCATTCTCATTTTGCATGTTCAATTTTGAGCTATCCAGTATTTATAGAAACTCAATCATAATTAGTTTATTACATAATTCATTTGGAGTAGCATAATATCGAATTGGATTATGGTTCAACATACCCAATGAGTCCCAGAACTACTAGCCAAGTAGATTGTAAGTCCCCTCTGTGGGTAATCAGTTTACTGATCACGCCAGCATGCCATTATACCTGTGGCAGGGTATATTGGGTCCTCTTGATGGGGCGTATACATCGGACTCCACATTTTTCTTATGTGATTTATTATCGGTTATTAGTAGCTCCCACTATTAAGTCAAACTATACTACATTGACCATTTATCAGAATATTTAGTATTCAGTCCCTGCTTGTTATAAATTAATCATTGCATTCAGTTACCTCAACATCCAATATGTCTTGTTTAGATTATTATACTTGCTTTAGTGCTTGTTCAATTATTTTTTATTTCAGATTTATTCTATCCTACATGCTTAGACCTTCTAATTACTGATGCATACGTGCGATACGTCTTTTCGTGATGTAGGCTCAGGTTCTCAGCATCCAAATCGCACTTAGATCGATTTTTGATCTTCAGTTTAGCAGATTCAGTGGTGAGTCCTCATTCTCCAAGGACAATAGTCATGAGTTCATTTCATTCCTTTAGTCATTTAG